GCCCCCGCTCCCCGGCCCCCCGGGTTTGCCCCCGCCGCGCCCGGGCTTACGCTCAGCCCGTGGGCGCTGGCGGGCCCCCCGCGCTCGGTCCCGCTCACAAACCAGCCCCGGAGGGCTTGCCCTCCGGCGGGCCTGGCCTTCGGTCCTCCTCGGGGGTAGGAGGTGGAGCCGTCCGGCTTCGGCCCCGGTCCGCGGAACCCCGGGCCGGGAGGTCTCGCCCCGGGTATGGGCTGCGGGGGTCCGGGCCTCCTGCTCTGCTCCCCGGGTTACCTGCGGGGTCAATGGAAATGCCGGCAGCCTCCTTCCCTTCCGCCCCTCCCCCTTTTGAGCCGGCATGCCAGGGACGTGCCGCTCCCCCTTGTGTCTCCCGCCCGCCGCGCCTGCGGCCGCGCGCCCCCGCTCGTCCTCCTCCCTGGCGCCCGAACGCTGCTCGTCCGCTGGGGCGCTTTTCCCCAGGCTCAGCCCCGCCGCGCCGCTCGGCGTTTCCCTGCGGGCGGGGCTGTCAGTGCGGGGAGCTTCTTCCCCGTCACAACCATGTTATTGTGGACCGGCTTAAAAATCCATTTACGTTTAGTGGAGTGGAGCTGGGGCAGGAGCATGACTGGGGCCGGTGGCTGAGGTTGGGAGAGCCTGGAGGCCAACATTGATCTCCTCTCTTCTGGAAAATTCCTTCACGCAGGACAAGTCAAGTCCTGAGGGTGCCGGACCAGGAAGAAAAAACCTATAGCTTAATTACTCGTGAATGCAAAAGTGGTACAATAAAGATAGGGAAGGATTCAGATAAAAAATAGTGAGATAAAAAAAAGTTAAAAGGGCTGACTAGAGCATGGCATCCAGATTGAGAAGTCAGGAATACTTGGCAGAGTTTCAGTCCAGCAGCAAATCTTTGATGCTCCTGGTCAACTTCAGTGCTGGTAAACTTTCCCCAACTCTCTTCTGCCTCTCTCCGCAGAACGACAACCGTCCCATTTACCTGGCTATAAACTTGTTCCTTTTTCTCAGTATAAAATCATAAGCCTCAGTACTTGAGGCCTTGTACAGTTCTGGGTGACCATGGGTAGTTGGTATGGTAGGCAAGGGAAGCCACTGCCTTCCCAAATGGCCAGCCTGGCCCCACCTACACTCCATCACCAGAACACCTACAGTAGGCATTCTGGGGATGGAGTGTTGCTGCTTCCCGTGCTCCAGGGCTAGATAGGCTGGGGCCATGGGCTCTCCACCTACTTGTGTGTATGGGGTGCGGGGGGGCGGGGCTTGGCTCCTGTGGGGGAGCAAGTCCCGGGCAGAAGGGGCAGGGCTGGGGGCTTACCTCCCCTTGCCCTGCCTTAACTCACCACTCATGTGGATGACCATGATTTTAGGTCAGTTCTGCTTTGTCCTCCTGAGCTGATTCCTTTCTGGCATGGTTCTCCTCTTGGCTCCTATCCTGGAACATTCCAAGTCAGCTGCTCTGTCTCTCACAATCTGGTTCTCATCTGCTTCACTATGTGAGAGTCTACTTGCAGTACAGACACCCACATATCCCTGTCTTCCTCTCTTTCAACCCCCTCCCCGTTGAACAACCAGCAGTTCCTTTGCCTCAGGGCAAGATTATAAAGCAGTCATGCTCTCTGAACCTGAGGGAGATACATGGGTTTTACGCTACCTACCAGCAGTGTTAGAGTTATTCATGCCCACAAGGGACAAGGGGAGGCGTCACCTTGGATGGTGGCACCAGGTTTCAGAAAAAGAACCCAAGACCCAATCCTGGTGAGTAGAAGGTAGAAACATCTCTTAAGTACAAACCGTCAGGGAGGGGGCTTGAACCACACCTTGGGGAAGGTGCTACATATACAAATGCCATTTTGTTTTCCTCACTGTTTTCATAGATCATTAAATGCAAAGCAGCTATTGCTTGGGAACTTAAGAAATCACTTTCCATTGAGGAGGTGGAAGTTGCCCCGCCAAAGGCACATGAAGTTCGCATTAAGGTAGGAGAAAGTTTTAGAAAGTTCATCTATGTACCTTATATTAATAACTGTAATATATCTGTCAGTTAAATTGGTGCTATAGAAATGTAGGGCTCAATCTTCCAAATATTACCACCAGAGTGCTTACTATCGGACAAACTCATATTGAATTACACAGGCTATTTAAAACTGGGGTGTTGGTTCCAGAATATTAGACACACAAGCTTGGGTGAGGCCATTTTATTTATTTATTTATTTATTACTGCACCAACTTCTGTTGGTGAAAAACCAAGCTTTCAAGATACACAGACTGGAAGAAGAGTAAACATTCATGGAAGAGTCTTGCATGGTAGATGACAAAGGCCATAACTGGTTGTGCTAATATACTAAAAGTTGTGGCCTGTGTCATGAAATCATGGGTGTGATAAATTAAAAGCAGTCTTTGGGATCATATCTTAGATTTATTATGAAAACTTAAAAAAACAGCTATGATCCTGTTGAACCTTAGAGACTAACCAGAAATATACAGAGAGTATCATGAGTTTTTGTGGGCATAGTGCACTTCTTCAGATGACAAATATGGAGCAAGAGGCACAGAGGTTCAAATATAAAGCAGAAAAGAATGTGAGATGGGGGGGGGGGGAAACCTGTCAATTAAAGTGTCTGTGATAAATGAAGCTAATAGTGAGTGGTAAGTGCCAGATACTTAGCTTTTGAGCCCCCTCTGTTAGCCTCATTTAGCTTTAATTGACATTTTCGTTTCTATCTCATATCACATAGGAAATATGAAAAATGTGTTCTTC